GGGGGGGGGGGGGGGGGGGGGGGGGGGGGGGGGGGGGGGGGGGGGTAGTGTGGTGTCACCCTCTGCTTCTCATCTGTGCTGTGACTGAATGAAATCACATTAATTTTGACACACTACTATCCATCTTCTGCGTTTAATCGGGAGGGGCAAGCATCCATCAGATCTGTCCGAATGAATCTTCTTTCTGCTTGATGATGACTGGGGGAAAAATCAGTTTTCTCTTCGTTCTGAGTCAGTTTACTACCTGTATGTGTGTGTGAGTGTGTGTATATATTTATATATATATATGATGTACATAATGTACATATATATGTATGTGTATATATGTATATATATGCATATATTTGTATGCGTGTGTGCATTTAAACATACAATAAGTTTGGAATATGATTGGAATGGTTTCAAAAATCGATTTGATGATTCGTTTTCCGGAGAGAGTGCTCTGACTCAGAAGTAATTCATCATCTCGAGGGCAAAGATCGGCGCTTCCGACATGTCTCGTCTCTGATTGGATGTGCTGTTTTAACTAATTGAGTTTCTTTCAAACCAGACCGCTGCGTGACATCTGGGGACTCACGGCAGTAGTGGGCTTTGGGGGAGCCTTGCTAGAGCTGATAAGGGAATGTTGTTTTGATCAAAGGGACTTTCAACAAAAAAAAAGCCCCTTCAGGTCTTGACCCAAAATGTTAACGAGGCAGTATTTAAAGTTTTTGCAACTGGTTGATTTGGTCCCTAAATCAAGCAGTGATCTCACGTTCTGAAGTCATTTGCATGCTCTAACGCCGTAATGAGGTTCTCATTATGATTTCAACTAAGACACAATGAAAAATACACCAAAACAATACACCCATGTGCTATCTTAGAGCTAATTTCCACATTCTCTTGAGGGAAATGGTGGATGCCTTCTCAACAGGCTTCAAAGTCTTGAGGTACAACTAATTTCTTTATGTCTGCCAGGAAAGTAAATTTCTAGTAGTGCATTGTGCGTTCAGTTTGATCTGACCCCTCTATGACATACTGTCTTTAATTTTTTTGAAATTTTAGGTTCTTGAAGAACATTTCAAAGCTCTTCTTTTCTGTTATCTGTCAAATTTTCTAAATGATCCCACACGGCTTCAGTGGAGTTGAGGTCTGCGCTCCTGAGAGGATTCACCCCTCTAGAGTGTAAACTTTGGCTTTTTCATAGAAGCAACTAAAGAAATGGGAACAAACCATGTGTATCTGTGACAGGCTGCTTGTAAGAAAGTACCTGGAGATCCTATTTTGAAGTGAGTGTTAGGGAAGGTGTTTTCTTTTGAAGCCTGAGCGATGTGGAGCTGTCTAGTTAAAGAAATATGTCCCACCTCTGCTCTTATGATTTGGAGACCAGTGCACATCTATTGCCAAAACCACTGCACAACCTTGCTTTTTGTTGTTTTCTTTCTTTTTGAGGTGATCCAGTCAGGTGACTATAGTATCAGGATTCTATTAGAGCAAAGCAACACACCACTGGTAGTTTCTATCTTAATGAGCTGCTTTCAGCCACATTTTCCGACTCATATATTCATAGTGTAGAAAATATATTGATTTATGCCTCTTTTATTTTCAATTTGACTACATGTCTTTGGAGTTCTTACTGCCCATTCAACCCCCCCCCAAAAAAAAATGTTTGTTCAAAACCCCTTTGATAGATTGCAAGTTTGGCATCCACTTGGAACAGAATATGAAGTAGTGATGTGTGTCTCAAGACTTATGTAGTGCTGCTTATCAACCTTATTTTCCCACGTCATCTCATGAAGGGGTTACAAAGCACCTCAGTCAGACTAAAGGGGTAAAGTTTGATTAAAGGTTAAGTTGAACCGTACTCACTATAGTCCATTCTAATATCTAACTTTCCCTGTCAGCTTCCATTTGCAAAAATAAATAACCCTGTCTCTCCCCCTCTCCTCCCCTCTCTTACTTCATGCTCTCACACCTCTCTGTCTTCCCCTGTTTTTCCTGTCTTTCTTCCTGGTGTCCCTTTCTCTTCCTCTCCTCCCAGGTCGTTCCTGTCTTTTCCCCTTTGAAGACGGCTTCCTCGACGATGGCCACGGTGACCCCTCCCTGACTCCGGGCCTGAACTCGCCCACCCGCTGTCAGAATGGAGAGAGGATGGAGCGCTACTCCAGGAAAGTTTTTGTCGGAGGCCTCCCCCCTGACATAGATGAAGGTAAACAAGGGATTGTTCTCGGCTTAGCATGCGTGGAGGAAGAGAAGGGGCCTGAAGCTAAGGGAACACCTGAGTCAGCATCACGCCGCAGCAGGTTTATCCTGATGCATTATGTGCAGTTCCTTCAGAGTTGGACGCCACCCAGTTCACTATGAGCTTTTCGGCTTTAAGCCATTAGCAATTACAAAGATCTGAAACTTTCTGTGGGGCACCTTGACAGTCCACCTAAGGACATATTTGAGAGCATATTTAATTACTTATTGCACACACACACACACACACACACACACACTCACACACACGTGTATATATATATATATATACACATATACATACACACACCACACTTATTTTTTTCAAAAGTAAAAAGCTCTTTTTTTGTTTAGTTCAAGAAAAACTAATAAAATGTTTTAATCATTTTAGCTTGAGCAATGGATGTTCTGTATAGACGAACATGTCCTGCCAAATCGATGCACGAAATGTGCTCCCTTTTTAAAAAAATGAATGAGCTTTCATCGGACGAGTCCCCCCAGTGCAGACTGAATGTACTCGGCCTCTGTTCTTGCGCTATGCAGTGGCTACTATGGCAGCGGGGACAGGGCAAAAATAGAAAGTGTGCCTGTCACAGCACAAAGCGATACTCTGCATTAAGTCCTTCTCGTCCTTATCACAATGACAACTGACAGTGAGCCCAATTTCATGAAATAATATTTCGTTTTTCTTGTGCTTGTCTTTTTTTTTGTGCAGATGAAATCACCAACAGTTTCCGCCGCTATGGACACCTGGTGGTTGACTGGCCCCACAAAGCTGAGAGCAAATCTTACTTCCCACCCAAAGGTAACAGCAGCCCTCCGGGTCATAATCTTTATATTCCCATCCATCATCAAAGTCTGCACCAATAAATATAATCTTGCGTACAACACCATGAAAGTGTTTTTGAAAGAATTGAATTGCATAGAATCCGTGGCTCAAGCTGGGCCACCATAAAGGTATCTGTTTTTGAGAGGAAACCCCAGTAGTCCTCCCATGGAGAGAAACATCCAGGATACACCAGATCCTCACCAACAGCTGTTTGCTTTCATGAGTGCCTCGGGAACATGAAAGATGGTCTCTTTTCTGCTGAGACTCTCGGGTGTCATTTTTGGTGATCGGACTAGCACCCACCCTCCTCCAAGCCTGTGCATGCCCGCTTTTTGGCCTAGGAGCTGCCGTGTGTCATATTAGGGAAACTTTTAAAGACACTGTGGAAATAACTGACATTCCATAGGAAGATGGAAACGCACTACATCTGGAGAACCTGTGAAAATACCTGCCTGCCTGCCCCCCCCCTCCTCCCCCCGCTCTCATTTTTTTCAGTCTTTTATTTGTATATGCTTTTTTTTAATACTTTAGAGGATTATTTTTTGAATAAGCTTGGCTCCCTCACATCCAAAGCCAGAAGGAAAAATGTGGCATCCTTTTAGGGGAATGAATGAGGTTATGGCAGCTGGAGGGCCGCCACCATGTAAGGGGAGGAGACATGTGGGACTAGTGATCTGTGCAGTGTTCATCCTTCACTTTAATTTAGAGCCCCTCTCCTAAACTCCTAGGGAAACCGACGAAATATCCTGTTTATATCACACTCTCCACATTAACTGGCAAGGGAGCTTGGACGGACGCCTGGTGACGGAGTTCTTAACGCTAATGCCCTTAGGGTTGAGAGCAAGCGCCCGTGTGCGCCAATGCGTCCCGCTGCTGCTGCGTGGACCGTGAAAATAACTCATTTATAGACGCGGGACTCGCATTGAGAGGTCATCAACCCCCCCCCTCCTCCTGTTAAGCGCCTTTCCAAGCTTTGACCGAATGGAAGGTAGCTGTCACTTTCCGTCCTGCTTCACATTAAACTGCCGGCAGCATGTGTCTCTGCACTTATGAAAGCGTTTTGGTTGGGGGATGACTCATTCCGTGGCTCGGCCTGACTTTAGGGCTACGGGAAAAGGCTCCTTTGGTGCTCGGGGAGCTCGGCAGCAAGAGAGAGCAAAAAAAAAAGAAAGAGCTGGCTGTTCTTTTTGGTCTCGCAGTGTTTGCACTCTCGGTTTTATTTTGTTAAAGTGTATTACAGGAATGATTTAGAAATTAGGGGTCTGCTTTGACAAATCTTTAGACGAGAGTGCCACAACATGAACCACCATCTATGGGGAAACTGGCCTTCATACGGAAGTTTATTTTACATGTACCCCACCTAAACACTGCTTCATCAAGCATCATCTCCTCTTTTTTCCAAAACAGGGATAATATGCCATGCGTAGTTAGGCTGTAAAAACTGCCAAAGAACAGCAGGATGAAAGAAAACAAGCCCAGGGTATAGTGCCAAAGTAAGCCCCCCCCCCCAACAATCTATAGTAACTATATCCATCATAAGTGTTTGACCTCACGACAGCTGTATCCAGATATATTCACCAAGACCCTTCTCAAAGTTCGTTTTCAGTTGGGACAACTAATCCCTCTACTGAAGTACAATGGTAAGCAATGTGGTCTAAGCTACCGTCTATTGGTAACGCTGCACTGGCTTACTCACATTTGTTTTGGATAAGGTTGCGTCGCTTCTTTTGAGCTTCTCAAAAGATCGAATTGGACTTGCTTTGCTAAAGAATGCCCAGCTTGGGACAGGTGTCCAAGTTTTAGGGTTTAAAAGGAGAGTATAATGTTGACTTCTAACTGAGCAAGTTTTACAGACTAACAGTTAAGCAGATCATCTATGCTTTATATAACCCATTTACAGTTTTAAACGGATACAATGTGATTTTAGATAGGACTGGCGTGTTCGCGTGCCCGAAATTGGCCATCAGTGTATCTTTTCAGTGGCTCTCGAAATATACATGGTTACATGAACACTGAATTTTTTGGTGTTTGAGGCTACACAGCCAGCCATGTCGCTCCTAAAAGATTTTTTTTTTTTAAAGTCATCTCTGGCCACGATGGTGCTGTCACTCACATCCTCCCTTAGCGCCTAAACAGTCATGGCTATTGTCGGTGATGTGCTGGAAATGCTAGGGAGCTATTTCTGTCTGTGCCTGGGGATGAGGGCAGCAGGAGGGGATGGCTGCCTGGTGTGGCGTCCAACACCGGGAGCCACAAACCCATGAAAATGCTAACGCTCACGTCACACTGCAATAACTGCGCATTGAAAAGGTCAGAGCCACACCGTCCCTTAACGGCAGCCACACGATCCTAATTCTTTAAAAAAAAAAAATGATATGGGGATTTCATTAGAGAGGCCTTAATGGAAGACTGAATGCGAAAGTGGCCTTACTTACTTATTATGATCTTTTTAGCATTTTGTTGCGATTATACCCAGAGAGTGACTTCAGTAACTTAAATGATAACTGGTTCTTATGTCCCTCTAGTCTTATCACTAACTTCTAACCAACTTGATCCATATTTGTTCTAGGCAATCAGATTTCCGTGTCTCCCTCAGTCCGACTCTTCTTTCGCTCATCTTAATCTGGCCTGTTTACCTTTTGTTCCGGGTAGCAGGCTACGTCGGTGAGATTGAATGTTATGTCACTTTCTTTTTCTGTTTTTATTCTGTCAATGAATACGTAGCCTTGCCCTTATCAGACTCCAAAGGTATTTCATGCTCATTCTTGTCAGCAAAACATGTTGTTGAGATAACTGAATTTAAATGTCATCATGGAAGGCGGAGAAGTGCACAGCGTTATTGCGCCCTGCATGTTTGATCAGTCAGAGGACAGATCCAAGCAATAAAGGTAACTCACAGCTGGCTATTGAGAGTGGAGAAAATCGTTTTCAGTGATTTCCAGACTGACCCTTAACAGCTTCGGTATCAGCTGTACAGGCACAACAGTGATATTGAGATAAAAGGAAGTTAAAGATAGCACACGGAACTGTGGCGTACTGTGACTCAGCAGTGCTGTTTTTTTTCCCGGAGGGTTTGAATGAGTTCATGAAAAAAAAGAAAGAAGATAACACGCCTATTTCATTTTTATTCATTAATTTTTATTTGTGACATGAATTTCTTTCTCTCTTTTCTTCAAGATGAAGCTAAAGCTAAAAGGGGCTAGCATTAGTTTATCGCAATGACTCCAACGTTTGACATGAAGTTAACGTTGAGTTCAGGGAGCGTTTTTACTCCACCGCTCTTTAAATGTTCCTTACGATATGAAGTTAAAGCTACAAGATGGCTAACATTAGCTGAGCTTGGCGCTTGAGCTCAATTGTTTATCTCTAATTGTTATCTCTGGAGGAATTAGCTTATTTGCCATTCTTTTGTTCTTCCTATTTCTATATGTAATGACGGCTGGTTGAGTCAGGATTCGATTTAGGAGACTGTTGTGTTATGTTACTGTCAAGTGGCAGCAAATATTGAATGCTGTATTTCTTTTTGTTTTTTGTCTGAAATTGGACAACATTTCCTGTCAGAAAGCAATGGAGCTGACAAGTCTGTCCTTATGAGTCAACTTCTGGCCCCCACAGTGGAAGGAATATAATCAGTCCGGCATGAGGCTGTCGGTCTGCACACCTCCCTGTTTATCTGTAAACGGTGCTCTTCTCGGTGTAGAAACGTGGCCGGCGTATGTACTCCCTTGCTTTCTAATCAGCGTTTGGAGCTGAGCAGAAAAGCTCTATAAATCTCAGACACGAGCCACTGCAGATCTGCGCTCTCCTCTCGTGGCGTAAGCCTCTGCACTGCGCAAGGCGCATGGAAAAAGAGACTGATCCCCTGCATCATTCGGGCAGAATATTAGAGCATTAAAGCAGCATAGCGCCCAGTGGAATTTGGAGTCTACGTGCGAGGCTTTAGGCTTTGAAGTGCGCTGGTGGAAAGGCACTGCCATTTGCACATGGCGGTGCAGTCTGTTTGCTTGAGTTAAGGGGTGTTTTCAAAGAGGGAGGAATCACAATAAATTACAGATGCCCTCAGTGGGTCTGTGAAGATGATAAACATGAAATTACACTCTCTCTCTTTGCATTCTGTCTTTTTCATGGAAGATAATGTCCTCTGGTTACTCTTGTCGGGTGTCTCCTTTTTGCTCGTGTTTTTGCCCCGGCATGTGCAGTGGATTTTGTATGCACCTCGCTTCAGTCCTGCTACTTCCTTAGAGAGTCCATTAAAGCTCTTTGTCCGACTCGAAAGTGTCCCTTTCCCCTTGCCCTTGTCCCGTTCACCAGAACCTCCCATCTATTTCTGAACTGTAAGTTAGTAATGCACTCTGTCATGCTGACGGCTCTCACCTTTCCTCACCTTTTTTCTAGTTTCCCTATTCAATCTGCTTTACTCTGCTCCCCCTCCTGCTTTCCCCTGTGTCTTTCTCTGCCCTGGGTCATGGAACACGTTGTTCCCTCCTCCCGATTGTACGAGCTGCTGGCTTCTGCTGCCTTTTCATGCTGTTTTTTTTTCTTTTTTCTTTTCGCTGTGTAAGTTTTTTTTAAAAGAATTTAATTAATTTTATGGGAGGGTTGGCTCTCTCAAGGGGGGTGTCGGTTTTAAAACACATGATTTTCCCCAGTGATAAACACTCATTATTTAAGCCTGCAAAAAACAAACGTATGACTAAAGATAAGGAGGCACAAAATCCTCACTAAATGTGTGTTTCCTTTGTGTGGTACTGGTAGGCGTTGAGTGTTTACCCAACAACAGAATAGTTGGGTAAGATGCTGATTGTAATTAGGTTTGCATTGCGGGATTTTTCCGTTTTTTTTCCCCCCTGCGTGTTATTAGAGGTTATTGGACCGCAAATGAGAAGTACAATGACTTAATTTCTAAGTGGATCTGCAATGCTTTTACATAACACCAGCTGCATACAAAGACTGATACTCTCTTCTTCAGGGTCATCAGATGGGTATACTTGAGCTGCGTGTATCACACGCTAATCTGCCCAATTTTCTCCACCGTTTGCAAATGCCAGTCAGACGCTGCTGACCTCGGCACATCGCTGCGACCGACGTGTCAGATTCATGAGGACACGCGTCACACGCGCTGACAAAAGCCGTCTCCCTCGGGAGCCCGGAGTCCTCCCGAGGACACATCCGTCTGCCTCCACACCTGCCAGTTTCCCTCCGTCCGCACTCGGAGCTCTCTCCTCCAATTTTCGTCGTTTTTCGTCCCATCCGAGGACACGTCCCCTTCACCGATCCGCTCACGTCAGCTGCACCAACCCCTCTCTGGAAGAGAAACTATATCTGAATGCACCTCCCGAGGAGACGCATGCCTTTTCTGGAGGTCTCGGGAGGTGCTATAAATGAAGTGACCGGGGGTTAGTGGGTAGAAACGATTCCTTTTGGCTGGGGGAGAAGATGCTGTTTTCTCCTAAAAAGATCAATGGGCAAATCAAAAGATTTGGACTCTTTTACCTGAGTTGCTCAGCCTATAAATCAAATCCTCACTGCACACCGATCTTCGTAGCACCGTGTGACAGAAGCTACCTTGCTGAATTGGTTTTTCTGTCCGTCTTAAAATACCTTAATAGCTCTGGCTCTGTTCAAAAGTCTCCGCTCTCCGAGCTGAATAATTCAGCAGTACAGAGTGACTGTCTGAATCGCTCACTTTTCCACTTCGCCAGGACAATGTCGGTCTCTCCTCGCCTGACCCGTCGTCTGGGAAGGCCTTCGGGATATTGGGAATGATCAATTTTGCACGGTTTCTCTAGGGGAGGGAAAGACTTGCAGCCGTTTCCTGGGAGGAAGCGCAGGCAAGCAAGGTGGCTGGGCAACTCAGGGAGGCAGGAGAACTAAGGACAGGAAAAATGCTGTGCAGTCACATGCCTGTGTGGAGTCCAAGCTGTCTGAACCTATCAATAGTTAAAGGGAGAATAAAGGACGGGGCTCAGTCATGAGGCCACGACTCCTACAATGCAGACTCTGTTAAAGTACCCATCTATCAGTCCTAACCCCAGCAGACGGACTTAAAGACGTCATGCCTTTAAATTGGGACTACTTACCACAGTAGATGTGTAGTAATGCAATCCCAAACTCGTACTTTTATTCCTTTCAGGCTATGCCTTCCTGCTTTTTCAAGAAGAGACTTCTGTCCAGGCCTTGATAGACGCCTGCATCGAGGAGGACGGAAAGCTCTACCTATGTGTGTCCAGTCCCACTATCAAAGACAAACCGGTATGTAGACAAGAAATTCCTGTAAGATAACCAAGATCTTGGTTGATTGATAAAAAAAATGTTTTCCTCTTGGGTGTCTGGCAACATCTCAAGACATTTTTAAATTCATCTAAGATCTAGTAAGGGGATTATAAATGTAGTTAGGCTTTCAAAAAGGGCTGAACTATCACATAGTAATGGTTCTAGCCTATGCAAGAATATGTCTAGCAATATACAATGTGATGTTTTCTAAGAAATTCACTTTTGCAGGTCCAGATCCGTCCCTGGAACCTGAGTGACAGCGACTTCGTCATGGACGGCTCCCAGCCTCTGGACCCCCGCAAAACCATCTTCGTTGGGGGGGTGCCACGGCCTCTGCGTGCAGGTAACTCGGTGTTATGAATCAAATATCTTTTCCATTTACCCTTAAAGCCTTCGAATTGACCCGTGCCTTGAGAACCTGGACCGGGCATTGCACGCGGGGGCCTGAGGCTGTAATGAAAGTTCTCCGCTGTGAGAAAGCAATCCTCATCTTGGGTTTCCAGAAAGCCTGCCCAATGGTCATCATGTTAAGAATTCATGGTGTAATGGAAGGTTCAGTCTCTCTGATACGGGGGATAAGCATGGCTGGCTTGTCTGCAATCTGACCCCAGATAATTACCCCCAGCAGTTTGAGACTGCCTCTCAAGTGAAGAGCGAACGCCACAAATGGCTACGACCCGAACAATAGCGAGCAGAAATGAAGGAAAACCCTAAACCTCTCGTTAGGAGTATGTATAGCACTGATCACCTCCCTCCCTTATATATATATATATATATATATCTTTTCCCTTCTCTTATCTCCAGTTGAGCTGGCTATGATCATGGACCGGCTGTACGGGGGTGTTTGCTACGCTGGCATCGACACCGACCCGGAGCTCAAATATCCGAAGGGAGCCGGCCGAGTGGCCTTTTCCAATCAGCAGAGCTACATCGCTGCAATCAGTGCCCGCTTTGTTCAGCTGCAGCACAATGACATCGACAAAAGGGTGAGCGGGTTCACGGGCCTCCTTCACTGTGCCCCTCCTCTGAACAGAAAGCTGCCTCCTCTGCCATAAATTGGGTTTTTTTTTTTTTTTTTTTTTTGCGCGAAGCCATTCCTATGGCGGAACTCCGCTCGAGTCCTCTCCCAAGTATCAGAGCTTTCATTATAGCTGGCTTTTCAGCCAGCTTCTCAGCACAGCCTGCAATAACAGAAAGCCAATGCCTGGCCTGTGTAATCACCACGCTCTTCGGCCGCTGGAGTCCCAGCAGATGTTTCAAGTTGCAGACACATAGGGCTGGTTTAATTATAGTAGTTCCCTATACGTGAATATCTACTGCAGCCCGGTTATTTTGGGCACACCGGTCAGTTGCAGGGAGACAGATCATGACCAAGAGAGACTGGTTGTCAGCCAGGAAGCCGAGCCTCCGCAGGGTGGGGCAGCTCACCCCACCTCAGCTATCATCATATATCTTCAGTGTGGATTAAGGTTGCCTTTATCGTCCCTGGAACGGGGTGGAATACAAATAATTCTCAAGACAAGTCATATAAACAACATCAAAGAACCTGAATTAGAAACTTTAAAAAAAATGTTTTATGTTCACATTTTTACATGTTATGTAAGTGGATAGTTTCTTGTTTTTTTTTTCCCCCCTTTCCTCTCAATAATCATAGCGACAATGTGATTTATTTTGGCAGAATTAAAACAACTAAACAGTCCGTGGTCACTCCGGGCCACAGAAATGGCTGCACAAGTGGAGCGCATTCTTGAGATTCATGAGTTCAAAGTTGTGGTGTGGAGCAGAGATGCCAGCTGTTGCCACATGCCTGTCTTTCCTCTTTCCTCTTTCCTCCCGATGCTCAGTTCCAGTAATGGGGATGATAGGGCTGAGAGATAAAGCCGCCCGCTCAGCATCGCATCCACTCAATTGATTTAAGACATTTTCAACTTTATTTTCACAGAGGGGGGTGGGGGGGACCAGTTTCCTTGTAATTTGTCTGCAGTTGTTGTACAGTTTAGCCAGGAAGCACGGTGGCCTACTGTCAAAGGGAACCTGTCATTTTGTGGCCGTAATGGAACCAGGCTGGCATCCACCCCTGCGCCTCCGTTAGCAGAGGCATCTCCACGGAGGCTAAGCGTTGGTTTCTTTCCTTCTGGCTTAACGGCTGACGGAAGAATACCCGCCTCTATCCAGCTCCGTTTTTCTGGGTCTGTGGAGAGTGGCTAACGCTAAACCCAGCTGTTACAGAAAACTGCTGGTTTGGTTTTGTGTTGTTTATACCAGAAAAACTCTCAAATGTTTTTTTTTTTTTGCAGTAAATAGATTTTGTTAAATATCTTTTGAGGGAAAAAAAAAAAACACAATACGAGTTTCCAGTCCTTGAATGAAGCACAAAGAGGAGTTTGAACTGAGGAGTTCTGTTTCCCCCCCCAGGTGGAGGTGAAGCCGTACGTCCTGGACGACCAGATGTGCGACGAGTGCCAGGGGGCGCGCTGCGGGGGGAAGTTCGCCCCCTTCTTCTGTGCCAACGTCACCTGCCTGCAGTACTACTGCGAGTACTGCTGGGCCAGCATCCACTCCCGGGCCGGCCGCGAGTTCCACAAGCCGCTGGTCAAGGAGGGGGGCGACCGGCCCCGCCACGTGTCCTTCCGCTGGAGCTGAGGGAGGGGGACCTGCCTTCTGGTGAACCCACACCCGATCTAGGGGGGGGAAAAAAAGAAAAAAACAACCTCCTGCAAAGTCCCCCCCCCCCCCCCCCCCCCCCCCCCCCCCCCCTGCTCCCCGCAAAAACCCCAAATAGGGTTAAAAACAAAGAAAAACAAACATAGGCAAAACGGACATCGTCTCTTAGCAAGACTGTAGCCCACACTACTTCATCCATGGTCCTGTGTTTCCCTTCTGAGGGAAGCTTTCTGGGGAAATGAACTCCATCAGCTTAGATATTGCACAAACTCTCACTGACTACACACATGATGACACACAGGGCGATACGGTCCACACCTGACTGCTCGGATTTCCCAGTTCTGTTGACTGGGTGGTGTGGAAAGGCCTGTTGGGCCCCTACCCCTACTAAAAACAGAGCTGGGACCATGAGAATATTTAAATATACACATATTTGTGTGTATATATATATACACATACATACATATACATGTATGTATATATATATATGTATATATATAGACTTACATGTATTTATGTATGTAATATATATATGTATATACACAGACATACATATATGTATGTCTGTGTGTGTATATATATATATATATATATATATATATATATAGTTTTGTGTCTATCTATACAAATATAGATCATTTAAATTTAAATTCACAGGAAAATGCATTTTTCAAAAGTAGCCCCGCTGTTCAAGGGAAAAGATCAATATAATATATAACAAAAAAAATAGATCAGTGTAAAGAACACGACTTACCAAAGGCAAATTCCTTAAAAGCATACAGAAATTCAGAATAGGTTTGCGTCAGATGTAGCGAGATGTAACAACTCTCAAGCAGTGCGGGCCCTGTATCGCCCACAGTTTAAAAAGATAAAAGAAAAAAAGGAAATCCAATTCATTCGCTCTCAATTTTGGACTCTGAAAATATCAATACCTCACGTGCTCGATATCAGATGTAGTTTTGCTTTCGACTTCTAGGT